CCCCGCCCCGTCGTCTGCAAAACGCCTAAACGGTTCGTCCCGGCTGCATCTATAGTCGTTAGCACCTGCCCATCCGCACAGGGCTCGCGTGGTGGGTCATGGCCCACCCAATCTCCCTATTCCATCCATAGGGACGGCCTGTGCCCCAGCAGTGGGGACAGTAATAGGCTGGTGATGATGAAATTAAGAAGGATGACACGTTAAAGTCTATTAACCTTAATTTCACAGTGTGAAAGTACAAAAAAATATCTTCCATTTTATTTTTCTCTTCATCTCTCTTCTATTATATTACAGAAAAAAGATTGAGTAGGCAATATGCAAATCGATGCGTGGCCCAGTGTACACAAGACGTGTCTAGAATGGAAATAGTTCTTTCCGCATGTCGAAAACGTGTCTATGAAGAATATTTGAAAAACTTTCGATCAATGTGAAATATTTTCTTTCGTTATCAACACAGTCGGCTGTTTTTTTTTCATTACTATTACAAGGTTATAATGCATTAAGAAATCATTGAAAATGATTTCAAAGCCCAAATATAATTTATTCGTTTTAGGTTACAAAGTTGTTACAAACACTCATGAATGTCTAGAAGCGAGACCTTGTACTGAGTAGACTTAGCAAGAAACTCAGCAAGGGCTGTTTTTTCTCCCTGTATTATAATTTACAGAGCCGTCATGTTGTCTGTCGTGTTTGAATCAGCGCAACAATTATGACGTAGATTATTACCAGCTGCTATAAGTAATAATAATAATAAATCAGCTTTATTTTCGCCATAACCATGTTTGCTTAACAAAAACATTATAATATTATTAACAATAATTGGCTATGGAGACTGGAGTCTGCACTAAGGTTAGAACCAGTTATACAGGTCACCAGGCCCCGACAGCCTTGCTGAATTAAGTATTGTTTACACTTAATTTCTTGCCAAGTCATCATTTTTTTTTTACTCTAGTTTCGTTTATATCAGTAGGTAAGCGTGTAAATGTGTGAGTATGTTTGAGCATGTGTGTGTTCTTGGCCATTGTATTTTTGGAATATATTTTAATTTTACTTTTATGGTAGATAACTTGTATATGTGTAAATGCCTATAAATGCCTATACTGCATACCTGTCAGTCCTTTTCATACTTGTATTTAGAATACTACTGCGGCCGACGAAATAAAGAAAGACGTAAATAATATTATGCTAATCAAAGTGACATGTTATCTCATTCATATACTAACAAATACATATAAGTATTTTTATAAAGTACACAGTGGGGCAATGGCGAAGCAAATTATTTAAATAATAAACAGAAATCAACTTGGGCGCGCTTGACTTCGCTTGGAACTCGATAAACATTTGCGAAATAATTTTATCAATGTTTGTTTAATAAAAAGCGTGATCGATTGCCCCAAGCAATGTTCTAAGCCCCGAAATCAATCAATCCTACAACAACCAAAGGTTATAAATTATTATTTCGATAGGATATCTTTTACATCATGGAAAGTCGTATTTTTGCGTAAAATTATACAATAGGGATTGTCATGCCTTTTTTTCTTTGTCTATCAGGTAGATTATCAAAAAGGATTGGACACGTATTTTTCTTTTTCCTCACAATCAAAAAAATATATATTGAAGCGTCTGAAAAATAATACCAATTCTAAAGTTATTGGGGACAGTGTGCATTCGGGATCGAAATATTAGGTATACAGTGTTATAGGTCTAAAGTTATTAGGGATAGCGTGTATTCGGGCTACAAATATAAGAAATAATGTTCTTTAGAGATATAGTGATTCGGGGTTTCAATTTTTGGTATTAAGTACAACAGTCGACTAATTTACTTACTAAAAGCTTGCATGTTGTAGAATATTCTCACGATCCCAGGTATTCAACAGATTATTAAAATAACTGACTAATTTTTCACCTTTGCAATAGGCTACTTGACACTTTTTGGAAATATGTTTTAAATGGTTAATAATTGTTCTATTAGACCGAAAAAAAATAAATTGTATTTTTTTTAACCTAGAATTTTATCTATGCTATGATGTCAACATAATCGTAAACAAAGATTCGGAAGCACGTAGGAAATAACCTGAATCTAAATTTATATTATAAAACCATGATTCCTAATAGATTTCATGATAAATATAATAATTATCATCATTGTATTATACGAGAATGTAGAAACACATCGTTAAAGACTCCAGAAAAGTTGTGGTTTTAATTGTCTAGAGAAATACACATATCTACACATGAACACAGCCAACAAAGTTTAAAATTTGCTAAATCCTGTAATATTACCGTCTGAAAGTCGTTTCTTTTAACAAAAACCACTTTAATACTCATTGAATAATATTTTAAGTTTAAAAATACAATTTTTAAGGTTATGAATGTACCTACTAAGTCAAAGAGTTTTGTCGTTTCTGCTTTCACAAATCTGGCGTCCAGAATAAATTTAGTCAACAAAACCAATTGACGAAAATGATTCTACAAGATATAAGTTTTTTAGATATATTTAAGTCCGACGAAATACACTAGTTGTTTACTTACACATTTGCTATCTTGTTGACGTCACAAACATAATTAAAATATAATTAAAAAGCATAGACTAAAAAACCATTTTCAAATTGAATTACTACAGCCATCTTCTAATTTTATGAAGTGAAATCGATGTATTTAGGTTCCTCATACCAATTTGACATGAGTCAACTAGCTTATTGAGGGTATGAAAAGAGTCAAAAAAGTATGTTCATACTTTGATCAATATGTTGTAAGAGCTATCCATAAAGTGTCGATTAACGTTTATTTGTTCGAACAAAATATTAATTGCGAAAGCGTTTCCCATTATATTTGCTTAATGATTAAAATTAAGTTGATTCGAAATTTATGACATGACTGGTTTGCGAATGAAGCTCTTTATTGAAATATCATTAAGTTAAATATGTATTTGTTTCTTAGGTTTTCACGCACATCACTCATTAAATAAAACTAGTTTTTACGGGTTAATGCACGAAACTTTATTTATTTATTGACGTTTCGTAGCTATTGAGATTAATCGGATAAAAGTTATTATTTTATATTGATTTATGTACTAAATTTATTCCAGACTTATTGGTCATGCCATTGTATCAAAATGACAAACTTGCTGACGTTCATTCATACCTATTATAATGTAAAACTTTTTATAGGTATAACATTCTCGCTTCCGTCTTTAACGTTAACTTTACTTTCGCAAAACTCTATTTATTATTTTTTGTCTTTATAAAAAATATAATCAATTTTTCTTACATCTTTTTACCACGAGCATTCTTAAACGAATCATGTCAATGTAAATAATATAATGACTTGAAAATTGTTAGATAATATAGGAATTAATATTTTCATTTTTTTAACATCTCTACAAACATTTCTATTTTCAGAATCACCTTCAAACGTGGTAATATTGTATTGTATAAAATATTGAATAATGTTGATAAATTCGCAAGACGTTATATTGCCCGTCTCGCTGTCTGGCCGCGGGTGGCGCTGACACATATGTAGGCAAGTCAATATGGCAACACTATCTTTATTTATATGTCACCTCTACATAATAAATCTACGAGTTGGACATAGAGTTAGAAGTGAGTTATGTACTGTTTTGTTTACATTACTCAAATCAAATGATATATTTGTTATTCTATGAACAGAGACAAAACACTACGTAACTAGTCCAAGCTCGGCTGGATTTTCTGCAGTTTGTTTTATGCTTCCACGTGTAGAGCGAAATAAGGTACGCTTCGCTTCGCTGCACTAATGCCAATTACCGAGTTGAGCGAAACAAAAGAACTCACCAGTAATAGTGATACTTGGCAAAATGCTCTACAACAAGACTCATCTGCCACTCCACCATACAAAGACAACGAAAAATTAATACAAATATAGGTACCTCAATTTATTACACATGTAGCGTAGAAAGTAATTATACCTACATATTTTTAGACTCTTTATAAATCTTTGATGTCAGATGACCAGACTTACGAAACCTACAAGCCACTAAAAATTACCATATATTATCTTTGGCTTTGACTACCATAAAGGCTTTGAGTATTTAATTTTTTAGGTATCCTTAATAAATTATCTGTTTCTAAGTTTTTGCGTCAAATAGCTGTGGTATATTTATTTATATAATATATACTATACTTATTTATATCCGACGACCTCCGTGGCCGAGTGGTTTGTACGCCGGGTTTCATGGTATCGCCGACTCGAGAGGTCCTAGGTTCGAATCCCGGTGGGGGCAGATGTTCGTGTGATGAATACGAGCATTTGTACTCCAGTCATGGATGTTTAATATGTATTTCTATATAAATATACTTATTTATGTACAGTGTATGTATTCTGTCCGTTAACCTAGTAGTATCCCTTAACACAAGCCTTACAGTGCTTACTTTGGGGCTAGGCTAATTGGTGTGAGTGTTGGATATATTTATTAAAAAAAAAATTTCAAGCCTTTAAATTCTTATTTAGAACCGTTTTCAATATCTACACGGTGAAAACCTAGCGGTAATATAAATCTTCTATTCGCAAGCTGCCGACTTTTATAATCAATTAGAGTCACCGATCACTCGTTCCCAAAAGCCATAAATATTCAAGAAGTATTAGAAATGTTTGCATTCAGCCGTTTGCGGCAGCTTTTTAATTATGCCAATTGATTGGCAAGAATTTTACGGCGCGTGGATTACGATCAGTTTCTTTACAAACTCTTCGTTCAGTTATGACTCAGTTTGTATAATGTGTACCCAAACAGCCCAGATAATAAATTAGCGGTGAATAGACATAAACCTTTTACAAAATTATTATCTTGATAAATGGACTTCATTGTTTTAAGTTAATTTATTACTCGTACATCACTATGAAGTAACTTCTAATGTTTATAACTAGTGCTAAAGTTTATAATACGAAAGTTAAAGCTAGGGAATTCTCAATGGGAACTTGTCATTGATTTCTCTTAGGAATCGAAGTTTACACGACAAAGAAAATTTAGGTGAACTAGGTAACTCGTAACTAACTAAAGAAACGTTATTCCTTCCTTAAAAGATTTATTTTTACAAAATTTTCTGATCGAGATAAATTACATTTGCTAATTTTGTACAATTTGCAGTTAACTCGGGAATTCACTTTTGTTCGCGAAGCCGTAAATCTTTCGGTTACTTAGTCGTCTGAATTCATGAGTTCCACCCGCGATCGCTTCCTGTTGCGTAGCTCTCGGTGCTAGGATCAGTGTTCTTTGAAATTTTGTGCGGTTTGAAAGTGCGCGTGTTTATTTGTAGTGTTTGGAACGAGCGACGCCGCGACGCGCGACGCACGCGAGCAACATGCCGCGGCCACTTCAGTTGTTTCGTGGTAAGCCGTGCGTAAGCGCGCGCGCCGCATATGCACATTTTACTATCGTGATTCGCGTCAGATAACAGCTCATATGTAAAATTGCGCGCTCACCAAAATGTCTACTAATAAAGATGGAAAACAGCGGCGCAACGATCACCTACTCAAAAACTTACCGACAGAAGTACTATTAAAAGCGAGAAGCACACTGGTCTCGATAAGTGGTGCTTTAAAGCCAAAAAATGAACATCAGCAGCGTCCTAAACTAACCAAGGAAGATTCAAAAGACAGAAAATATCAAGACAGGCTAAAGTTAAGTCGTTCGGAGCCAGAGTTCGGTGAAATCAGAAAGTCGAAACACAAAAGCCGTGCAGAAGATGGTTTATCCCGCGATTACGCAGTTGGACCAAAACCGAGGCCACTATCAGTTGGTGCAGTGAAACGACCTGAAAGAGAGACCGATAATTTTTCAAATGCTAGTTTTCTGAAAGAACCTTCTCCAGCGTGGCAGCGGAATTTTGATTCGTCAGAAGATGTGTGTGTGCAATCATGTTTAGTGTTACCTGTTGCCGAAAGATTAAGTGTTAAAGACTTTCAAGACTATCATATGCATGATAGTGGTGAAAGACCAAGAAAGAAATTATCATTCCGAGAACCAGAGATTGTTGGTAACGGTAGTGCTACACTCGGGCGGTCGCATAAACTAATGGGTGTTAACAGTTTATCAAGGAAACCTAACCGGATATCACTCAGAGCCGAAGTGCATTCTTCTTTAGAAGGCATTGATTCAGATTTAGAAGTAAGTTATTATCCTGTTTAATCGCTCGAGTAAGAGTTTTATTCGTCATTTTATGTGGGTCGTTCAGATTTTTAATACATATTCAAAATTATCGATAAAGTAATAAAGAGGAAAAATAATAAAATTTTAACATCTTGTTCGAGAAACGTTTAAATTAAAGAAAGGCAGTTACGTCAACTCGAACTAGATCACGAAAACTCTCACATCTAAAAGCTAGATGACATACAAACAGGCGTATTTTATTTATGTAGTATTTTGAACTAATTCTAAGCAGGTACTAAAGTTTAAAATATATTTAAGTAGTGCTTTCATCAAGTTCATTACAACTTACGATTCGTTCTTTATGACAAAGATATTGATAATTTATGTATGGATATTATAATCACTAATTCATTTTTCATTTATATTTAAGTGTTAGTTATCTTTCATGAGTCACACATTGAAAGATAATCAGGCTATGGAACATGTGTGAAAATGTCGACATCAAAAACATTCCATCCAATTTGCATTGATTGATGGTGCGTGCTCAACGCGTATGTTCTGCTACATATCCACTTCACTCTCTGATTCAATAAAATCCAAAATATTATGTCAACTATATATTTATCATCTTCAGTCGTTGTTGGCGCTATGTCCAACGTTTGCGGAAGTACAAGTTTTTTTTTTTCTAAATTGATCATTTCGTTGACATTTTGGCATATCATTTCGCGTGTGACGTCAAAGTCAATATTTCCGTCATCAGTGTCATTTGTTATTTGGAAAACTTTAATATTATGTTGGTATACAATAAATGTGTCTGTTTGGGATAATTTTGGATTCCGGTGACGGGCATGAAGCGTAGTATACGATAAAAGTAAAGCAGTCTCGGTGGCTATCATTTATTGTGCGTGTTTCGTTTACTCCTTACACACTAACAACATACAAGTGTTAATGGAGTGAAATAAAGCACACAACATTTATATAATTACTCGCTCTTATTTACGAGAGATTTACATCAAATTACAATGTCCTACATTTTAATTCTTATACCGTAAATGATGATGATATGAAACTATTATGTTATTCAAAAATATGGATTCCCTATTCACCATACGAATTACTAAAATAAAAGTTGACAGTTACTTAAATAAAATTAGTCGAATTACTTAAATAAAAGTTAAAAGTCCACGAAATTGAAGCTACATTTAAATTTTTTACTAGTAAAATTCCGTTAAAATCATGTAATAATATATAATGAACACACACACAGATTGAAGAACAAACCAAATAAGTCAATATATGTCACTGTCTAACTGTGGCCACAATTCCAACGCGTACAAAGAAATTTGGTGACTCATTTCTTTGCCGCACTAACCGTAAATGGAATGCTCTGCCCGCTCACGTGTTCCCTTCCTCTTACAACCTGGGATCCTTTAAAAGAGGCGTGAAGAAGCAACATGCAGGCCGGCAGGGTGAGTATGGCTGGTGTGGCAGGTAGAACTGCTGTATCAGCTATCTTCGCGTCTGGACTTTACCTTCACTTAACATCAGGTGGGGTGGATTCATTTGTCGGGCCTATCTATAAAAAAAATATATAATTCGGGTGATACTAAAAACAAACAATAACAAACAGTGAAGTTGTCAAAATGCAGTTAAGAATATAAAAGCGAATGTCAAGGCATACCGACTTGTGTGCATTTTATTGGTTTGTGGAATGTTTCATAACCCACGAAGAGCTCTATAGCAAACAGCATCGGAATTACGAGGTCCTAATCCCACCTCGAGCCCTCTTTTCATTCAATGGTAAATGAAAATAATATTCTGCGCATATAAACAAAATGTGCAGAATTCTTGAAACATTTTATATGATTATATTATTTATACGCATTTAACTGCTAAATGTGTAAATCTTAAGAAAATATTACTAGAAAATATCCACTCAGTCCAGATTTCAGGATTTTCAGGGATTCGAACCAGCAACTTTGATAGGGCAGACGCACTAACTAAATTATGCTACCGAGACCTATATGTCGCATTTCCTCTAGTATTTCTAAGGCTAACATTTTATATGTTTTAGAAATAACACTTTTTGATAGTAATTCTATTTAATTCAATATCAAAATACGAGGTAAAGGTGTTTTTTTGGTAATTAATGAGATGGAAAATCAAAATTGTGATACATTATGTTACAACAAAAACATATTTCTTATGTCGTAATAATTAATTTGATCCAATTTATTGAACGTTATTGAGAGATTGAGGCATTTGAAGTTGCGCATATTATCGTTTTTTCCGTTAACTAGCTGCAGTGGAACGATCAGTACAAAAAAAGGTAAATAAAATTTGCAAATATTCTACTTTATCTTACAATAGGAAGAATAAATCTACTGTTTACGGTTCTATTGGAAATGGTCAAAAAAATTTCTAAGGTGGTAAACGAGGCGCTCAAAAATTACGATTTTTTGCAAAAAATATGAAAGGGCTCTTAATATATCGAATATTTACTTGTTCCATTCTGATTTGTTAGATCGAGGTTGCACTGTTATAGGAATCTGTTAATGTTGCACTTACTTTTACCTTAAATTTGTTGTTCACTTTGAAACAATTTTTTTTGCCAACAGGTGTTCGGCTTGAAGTTAATAATCGGAATTCAAGTTATTAAAATAAAACAAAAATTAAGCTAAAAAATAAGTTTAAATATCTGTGGCTTGTAATAAAATTACTTCGTTGTAATTAAACACATTACGACGAAGTTCATGGAGGCGTTCATTATAAATAAGTACAGACTATTGTTTAACCCGATTTTATATTATTATAGGATTGGGATTAAAATGATTTTTTTTTAAACTTGCTGCCTTTACGGCTTTACCAAGAGTTATAAGGTTCGTTTTAAAATCCAATTATTGGTTGGAAAACAAACGAATAATACTGAGGTCTACTAAACTGGAAATAAATAAAAAAATGGAACTTAGAAAAATGCGAGGTCATGGTAGTCCAGGCAACGAAAAGGTATAGAGGGAAATGCTTAGAACACAATTTTTGACTTCGTAACTTTGTTAGGACTAATTAGGAGATAAACATATCAAAAGCCCCCGCCCGTAGCCCTTAAGCCGGGGGGAAGGGGGGGGATTGAAGGTCCCATTTTTAGGTTTTTCGCATATATCTCGGAAACTATGCATCTCAACGACATGAGACTTTGACAAAAGTGAAAGCTGATTAAATTTGCTACAAGTCTTATTCAGTTAAGTTTTTTGATATCTTGTATAGTTTTCGAGATATCCGCTCTTAAAAGTCTTTAATTATGGAAAAAAAAATTGCTTCACATTTTTGCTCTATTTGACCGGATAACTCTTCAACAATGCCGGCCGTAGGGTTGTTGGTTCCACCAGTGAGCAGCATGCAGATTTCGGACAAGCCGGGCGGGGACTTTTGATATGTTTACCTCCTAACTAGTCCTAACAAAGTTACGAAGTCAAAAATTGTGTTCCAAGCATTTCCCTCTATACCTGGAGCCCTACTCTCTTTCTCCGAAACGAAATTTCGGTAAAAAACGAATTTTAAACGAAATTTCGCCAGTGACTCTACTCTATTTCATTTTCGAACACGCACATAAAGTTCGGAATCACAGACGATTATCGTGAACGAATGGAATGAGTTATGTTTGTGAGTTCTTTTCGTCTGCACTTTTTATATAATGTTTTTTACTTCAAAACAATATTACTTTATGACAACATTTTTTAATAAAATAAAACAAACTCTTTTGACAGTGTTAGCCGACTAATTTGTTGAGTTGATGCCATCGAATGTATGATGACCTAAATTTGTCGTGTAACACTTTGAAGTATTGGCAATACAATAATAAACAAAAAAATTATATTTATTTGTAAATCTTTCATACTTAAAAAATGTTCCTCACGCTAAGCAGATTTAATTAAAAATACTCTAGTAATAATTTTAGGTTTAATTTAAACAAAAATCCCAAAACGAAATTGAAAAGGTAACACTTTTCATTTCGTCAATTTGAGGTTAAAATTTCGAACAATTATCTGTCAAATTTAACTTTTAGTTCACAAGTTTTGTGAATTAGAGTAGGCTTAGAGAATTTAAATGTCAAACTATTTTCGGACGAACGAATTTTCGAAATGTAATAGTAACAGAGGAATGTAAGGAACGTGCGAAATTTCGATCGAAATTTCGTTTTTCATTGAAATAGAGTAGGCCTCCTGTTTTTGAGCATTCGTTGCCTGGACTAGGAGGTTATTTACTTACTTGCTTATAATAACCGTATCGTGTACCGTAATACTTAATATGGTATACGATACGGTTTGACGAATGACATTATTGAGGGCAATGTGAAAAATCTCCATAATTTCTCCGTAACTCCGTAAAAAGACTTTAATGGATTACTTACAAAATAATACACACATATATATACAAACTTCAAACAAATAATTTAAATGAATAGTCACAACCTTGGTTATAGCCAAAGTAAACAACCTCGATGATATCATGTCGTATTAGAAAAAATATCAGAATCCCTTAGGTATTAATCTTTTACACGCTGACATATAAAAAAGATCTTTGGGGGCCCGTACCCAGATGACAATAATAGTGAAAATGGAACCTTATTACTAACATAATAAGACTTATTATTACAGGAAAATAAAGCAAAGTTTACATAATACATATTTTTAGTACCGCTTCGAAAATTATGAAGTAAATTAATTGATTTTGATTATTTTCTGATTTTTGATCTGATTTGATCAAGATTTTCAAAACTTGTATAATGGTACGGAAGCCTAAAATTGTGATCCGACTCGCATTTGATCGATTTTTTATCATTCACATCCTTTTTAAGCTAGAAAGTCTCGATATCTAATCAGATTGTTGTGGGGCTCAGCTGCTAATATAGAAAGTATTTTCGTACTGCAAAAGAGAGCTGTTCGCGCCATATATAATTTAAAGGCAAGAGAATCTCTTAGAGAAAAATTTAAAGAAATTAATTATTTAACACTGGCTTC